AACTCTTTCTACCTTTGAAAGGCAAAAAAAAAAAAAAAGACTTTGGGAAAGATTTCTGATCCATTATTTAACTTAAAAATAATGAGCTTGCCCAGCTGTGGGTGTGGCTCAGCTGTTGAACATTGACCTAGGACCCAGGAGATTGTGGTTTGAGTCCAGGTCAGGGCACATGCCCAGGTTGCAGCTCGATCCCTAGTCAGGGGTGTGCAGGAGGCAGCCGGTCAGTGATGACTCTCATCATTGATGTTTCAACTCTCTCTCTCCCTCTTCCTTCCTCTCTCTGAAATCAATAAAGATATATTTAAAATAATAATATAATGAGCTTAATCAAAAATGATTCTGAGGCTCTGGTGTCTGAGTTTCCCATAGTAGGAAAGTCTATCCTAGAATCAAGGACAACTGGTCCCTGTAGATTTCTTCTCAGATGTTGCCTGACTCTCTTCTGTCCTCTAGTGGTAATTGTAGAATTACTTCAATTGTCCCAAATCCTGCATTTCAGGATTAAGAATATGAAAAACATTCTATAGGCAAAAGAATCACGGAGAAAATAATTTCATGTTCTCTGAAATATAATAAAAGTAAATTTTATTACAAATTGGTTTCTAAATTTCTTCTGGGTTCTATGTTGGTTTGACCAGCTAGTTGCGTTGGTTGGCACCCTGTGTGTAGCACATCTGCAGAGTCATGGAGGAGTTGTCACACTTGTCAGTCCCCAGCTTGGTGTCACAGATGTACTGCCAGGTCCTGGGAAACATCATGCCCACTTTTCTGGCACACTTGTTGGTGCCCATTTGAACGCTGATGGTTGAATGGTCCATGGATAGCAGGATATGGTTCTTGGGGTCATACTGAGGCCTTCTCATGCCATATGCCATCATGACTGACTGGCTGGAAGACTTGTTGGTGCCCATCTGGAGCCCAATAACGCACTGGCCTGCCTTCATGGTGGCGTCATTGAAGTTCTGCTCCTGCGTCGAGTACTCGATGCTGATGTCCACGACACTCTGCAGCCCCTATGTCTTGGCCTTCCCTGCCAGAGCCAGGGGAGACACCTGCACTTGTGTCATGTTTCCACTCTCAAACAGGTCACTGGCCTCCAACAGGTCCATGGAACACATGCACAGCTGACCATGGCCTTGATGAAGTTGGAGAGGTTTTCTTGCTGGTGCGTTTTACACTGGGAGGTTGCTCTTGGGGACTGAGCCCAGCTGCAGCTTATTCATAAGTGTGCACAGGATAATTCTGTCCTTCAGGCCCTTCTGGAAATGGGGACCAAGAGACAGAACTGGGAGTCCCTCCATCCAGCTGCGGAACTCTACCTCCTTCTGAGGGTCATATTTGGACAAGAGTTGGTTCTTGACCTCTGCTGAAAGCCCATAGGAGGGCCCCTTATTGAACTGCCTAGAATTCACCTGGTGGGTGTGATGGTGGGAGACATGCAGCCTTTGTCAAATATTAATTGATCATAAAGGCGTGGGTTTATTTCTGGGCTCTATTCTGTTCCAGTGATCTGTATGTCTGTTCTTATGCCAGTACTATGCTGTTTTGATTACTAATCCCTTGCAGTATAGTTTGATATCAGGTAGTGTAATACTTCCAATTTTGTTCTTCTTTCTCAAGATTGCTGAGGCTATTCTGGGTCTTTTGTGGTTTCATATAAATTTTGGGGATATTTGTTCTAGATCCATGAGATACAGTATTTTAATAGGAATTGCTTTGAATCTACAGATTGCTTTGGGTAGTTTGAACATCTTAATGATGTTAATTCTTCCTACCCATAAACACATTATATGCTTCCACTTATTTGTATCTTCCTCAGTTTCTTTCTTTAGTATTCTATAATTTTCCAAGTACAGGTCTTTTATATATATCTTGCCTAGAAGAAACTCCTGATCTGAAGGAGATAACACAGGGCATGAAGTGCCTGGCATCTTAAGGAAAAAGAATAGAGTGAACGTGCTTTGGGAGTACAGTGAATAATTCTAGATTTGGAAGCTACCTGGAACTCATAGCAATCAAACTCCATTTTCAGAGATAAACAAGATACGGTTAGCAGAGGAAGATGGCAGCAGAAACTCTAGAGGCAGGTCAGTTATGTACAACATATAACAAGTAACACTATGCAGCCATGAAAACCATAGATTCAAAAATATTACAGGGCAGGGATAATTGTTCATGTTAAATTAAAAGTGACTGGGAATACAGGGTGACCCCATTTTTGGAATAACTAAGTCTAAATGTAGATGAAAGCATACAAATACACTGAGAGGTAGTTTTCTAATTTTCTAAAATGTTTATTGTTTAACTAGAAGCTTCCATTAATATGCTTTGGTTTCATGTACTATTATTTTCAGCCTGACATAAGGCACTGTAATGTAGATGAGTTATCACCACACTACCATTCCCCACCCCTGCAGGTCCATGGGCTTCAACCTGGTCTGTATTTTCTGTCCTAGAATCCAATGCCTAATTCAGGAGCTCAATACACACTCTCTGAACTACAGAACTTAGGATGAGGTCTGTGTTTTCCTAGTGTGAAATGACAGGACAATGACTTCTACTAGAAGGCACCCCAAAAACATTGACTCTTACAGAATTTATTCTGGTGTAATGGCAAGCCTGGGAAGAGGTCTCAGTTTGGTGTAGTCTTTTATTGCTGACAGAACCGTAAGCCCCATAACACGCATGCCATGTCTCACCTGGCCAACAGAGGCCAGTGCATGGCTGTTCATGACTACAACATCCACCCTCTTTTAAATTTAACAAGTTCACCTTCTTCAAAACAAGACCCATATATATGCTGTCTACAAGAGAGCCAGTTCAGATCAGATGGAAAGGCGTATAAAGACTCAAGGTTAAGAGATGGAAAAAGATATTTAATGCAAATGGAAACCAAAGGAAAAAAAGCTATAGACAAAGAAGGATGTTACATAATGATAAAAAAAAATCAATCCAACAAGAGGATATAACTCCTGTAAACATTTATGCACTCACCACAGGAGCATCTAAATATATAAAGCAAATATTGACGGGCATAAAGTAAGAGATCAACAGTAATACTATCATAACAGGGGACTTTATCACCCCATTGACATCAATGGATAGATCTTCCAGACAGAAAATTAAAAAGGAAACAGGTGCCTTAAATGACACATTAGACTAGGTGGATTTAACTGACATTTTTCAGAGCATTTCACCCCAAAGCAGCAGAATGTATACTCTTTTCAAGTGCACATGAAACATTTACTAGGATAGACCACATGTTAGGCCACAAAACAAGTCTCAATTAATTTAAGAAGATTGAAAGCATATCAAGAATATTTTCTAACCACAATAGTATAAAACCAGAAACCCATTACAAGAAAAAAATTGAAAACACACAAATACATGGAGGCTAAATAATTGAAAAATATTTTTTAAAAATATAAGTCTTTTATAGAAAGGAGGTGGGTCAAGGATGGCATTAGAAAAGTGGAAGTTCACTGGAAGTAAGTGAGGGTTTGGGGTGACAAGGGCTCTTCATTGGCTGAGCTGCGCTTTTTCCATTGGCTGGGCTTGTTGCTGGGCTAGAAGAAAATCTTCCTTCCCCCTACGGGGTACTAAAGGAGAAACTCCTTTCTGTTGGAGATGCAAAATGGTCTCTCCTTGTTTGGGGTGTGAGAGCTCCCTCTAGAGACAGTCCAGACTCCAATTGTAGTTGAAATTTCCTTTATTAGTTTTCACAGGTCATTGCTTTGATCTGATTCAGGATCTAAAAAGCCTTAACTAACAGGGTTAAGAACCTATGTCCTATTCAGTACAAAGTTCTCTGAAAGTAAAAAGTTCAGGTGGGCATCTAGCACTCCCCTGGGGCAGTCAACCAAAATTCTAGTGTTCACCAGTGCAGAACCATGGGGCTGCAAATGCATTAGCAACTCTGTGTAAGGAAATCAAGTACACACGGGAAACCAAGGAACGCTAAAAGCATTTTAGCTTACAATTCAGCTTATTTAGTACAGCTGCTGAGGTTTCCAGGCCTCCATCAACGAGGACGGTGGGCCTGCTAGCAGGTTTGTTGTGAGCGCCTGTATATATATGGGGGTTGCGGGGACAAATGGTTCAACTTGTTCTGCATCAAAAGGGGGTTATGTGAGCTTCCAGTGAATTTCCATCACTACTACCCATAATTTTCCAGTTATTTTTATCATCCATTGGCTCTTTTCTTCCAGTAGCTCTGACGAACGAAGGCAAAACTGAAACACGGAAGGAGAGAGCAAAAGAAAAGGAAGCTACAAAGGGGCCCAAGAGCCCGGCCTTTTGTCCTGCGGTCCCTTTAAGAGAAGGACCTCTTGGGACCGGCAGTCCCAACCGACCCCAGTTTTAACCGAAACCTAACCCGGACTTCCCCCTCTTCACTCAAATAAGACCAACTTTGGATTTTCCCTCCCCTGTTGGCCAATCAGATCCTGTTACCAGGCAGACTTTAGCTGCCGCCGGTGCGAGCTCGGCGCCTTCTGTCTCCGGGTGGCGGCAACGACCAATGATAGAGCAGGCCGACCGAGTATCTAGGCAGATCGGAGCTGTTCCAGCCATTCAGAAAAAAGAAAATAAAGCAACGCACGAGCCCGCCGGGCCGGGACCGTGGGGCTGGGCTGGAGTGAAGGTGGCTACGAGGTAGTTTCTCTTTCTCCCTTACCTTTATTGCTGCTTGTGTGGGAAGGTGGCTGTCGCAGGGTTGGCGGGGGCAATAGGAGTTGGGAGGAGAGGAGAAAAAGATCTTAGCTGGATTTTCAACAGCTTCTTCACCCATGTGCACGTGCCCCGAATCTGGGACCTCATTTCCCCAACCGGGTTTCCTACGCCCAGCCCAGGAGTTCCGCTACCCTGAACCCCCTACTTGGCAGCAACCGGGATTGAATGGAGGGGGCAGGGCAGTGGGTGGGGGCGCGCGTGCGGATGGGATGTTGAGGGAGATGACGTAGGGGCCGGCGACCTGGGGAGGGGGAGCGGCGGGGGAAGCGGTAGCAAGATTAAGGAATGAGAACTTGGGCCCAGTTTTTTCCAAGCCTAGAACGGCAGAATATGTTCGTATCCTTTCTGACCTCCCAGGCAAATTCAACGGTGAGGCGTATATTAGAGCATTAGATAACTTTGTTTTGTGGTGGGGGTGGTTTTTGAGGGAGAAGAGGGCAGTATGAGGTCAGAGTCAGAAATGAAAATTTCTTTCTCATGTGGATTCCCAATCCCCCGATCTCTTCCTTTACAGTTTTCCACATATAGGAGACTGCAGGAAGGTGGGGCAGATAGAATGGAAAACGGCAAAGATCTTTTGGGGTATATATATGGGGCCTGGAAAAATAATGGAATAATTTCTAATTTTTGGAGAAGACAAGTGGTGAGAAAAAGACCACTGGAGAAATTCGGAGGCTGTCTGTCTGTGTAGAGAGATGAGTGCCCCGGGGTCTTTGGGGAAGGGAAGTTAATCTTCATGTCCTGTCTCCTGTCAACTCTAGCCTTCATGCCAGGATGGCAGAAGATGAACCCGATGCTAAGAGCCCAAAGACTGCGAGAAGGGCCCCCTCAGGTAGTGCTGAGGCAGGGGAACCTACCACCCTTCTTCAGAGGCTCCGAGGTACCATTTCGTAAGTATTCATCCCCACCTCCAAATCTTGTACCAGACCTGGGTATAGATCTCTGTAGCACCTCACTTCCTCTGTAGATGAACTGCCTCCCCCCTAGCAAAAGCATCTGACTAGGAGGAGATTCTTCCCATGGTAGCAGTTCTTGTGCACCTGCCAGCCGTCTGGGTCCTCCTGTCCGTAGCAGTCAGGCGTGGGATGGGGAAGAATCTTGTCTGACCCCCAGCTTTCTTCTCTTCTCCACAGTAAGGCCGTGCAGAACAAAGTAGAGGGAATCTTGGTAAGTATTTTGGGGAAGAGGGCAATAAGATTAAATTGGTGGGGGATGAGGAAGGTGAGGACGAGTAGATGAAAGGTTTCAGTGGGAGAGGCAGCGATGTCTACCCTGGCAGAAGATAATAGGCTTTGCAACTTATTACCAATTTGAGCTTGAGCATCTCACTTCATCTCTGTGACCTGTTGTATGGAAGCCCAGTAGAAAAATCAGAGCCAATTCCCCTCTGCTTTCCCTTGTCACCATGGTCCATAAGGGTTCCTCAGAGCACGGTGAGCACCTAGCCCCAAATCATTCTAAGGTCTTTTCAGTCTGACAGTCTCTTAAGTCAGCTAGACTTTTTGGTAAGGATCAGAGGGTTCTACCTTGGGTCCTTCTTGGCCTTATTATTTCTCTTGCCTCTGTTCTTCCTTACCTCAGCAAGATGTACAGAAATTTTCAGACAATGACAAGCTGTATCTCTACCTTCAGCTCCCCTCAGGGCCCAGTACTGGAGACAAAAGGTATGTTTGGTGCTAGACTTTTAGATGTCAGAGGTTCTGATTCTTTCAGGCTCACTGGGGAGGGTGGGGTGACTAGGAATACTCATGACAGCAGTCCTTGATCAAGAAGGAAAATCACTGTCCTACACTTGTATACCAGAGAAAGGTAGATTCTGAGTGAAGTTATTTGGTCCACCACTATTGAAGTGATAATCTGGATAGAACTGGGACAATTGTTGGGAATTTAGTCATGGTTTTCTTTTTTTACTCTTTTGCAGCTCAGAGCCAAGTACACTCAGCAGTGAGGAGTGCATGTATGCCTATAGGTGGATCCGCAACCACCTAGAAGAGCATACTGATACCTGTCTGCCAAAGCAAAGCGTTTATGATGCCTATCGGTGGGTGGATGGGGGGAATGGAAAGGTGGATTGCCTCTGGAGATCTCCCTGCCTTGATAGAGCCTTACTTCTTAAAAAGTTTTCCCAAATTTGATCCCCAGGGACCCTCTGAACCCACCCATGACCCCCTTCTCTGAGTATCTTCCCACTCTGCTCCTCCTCCCCCAGGAAGTACTGTGAGAGCCTCGCTTGTTGCCGCCCACTCAGCACTGCCAACTTTGGCAAAATCATCAGAGAGGTCTTCCCTGACATCAAGGCCCGAAGGCTTGGTGGCCGGGGTCAGTCCAAGTATCCTTGACTGGAGAGCTTGGGGCTGGAGCACCTGGGGAGGAAAGCTTATTGTAGAGATCCAGGAGTGGAAACAGTCTAACCTTGCTAAGGGGCTTGGAGACCCCCATATGTTGGTTTCTCCTTAACTTACATCAGATATTGCTACAGTGGCATACGAAGAAAGACCTTGGTATCTATGCCACCCTTGCCTGGCCTTGACCTAAAGGGCTCTGAGAGTGTAAGTAACAAATAACCCTCTGATTGCACTCTTCTCTCCAAGATAGAAGTCAGAGGTCTTTGGGACATGTTTTAAGGACTGACAGCCTAGGTGATTTTGCAGATAGCTTCTGGATATATAGGATAAGCCCTTCTGCCCACCCTATGGCTGAGGCAGAAGATGAAAAGCATGTGTGGGTTTCTAGGATGGGATGGTACAGGCTACTCCCATCCCCAGTTTGGTCTTACTATGGTCAACATGGATGTTCAAGAGGGACCAAGGGTCCTTTAGTTTGGAGTATTATGAGGCATCATCTCCTTCCCTACTGCAGCCAGAAGTGGGCACAGAAGTAACCCCAGCACCTCGGGATGAACTGGTTGAGGCAGCCTGTGCCCTGACCTGTGACTGGGCAGAACGAATCCTGAAACGGTCCTTCAGTTCCATCGTTGAGGTCGCCCGCTTCCTGCTACAGCATCATCTCATCTCTGCCCGATCTACACATCCCCATGTGCTCAAGGCCATGGGGCTTGCTGGTGGGTGGACCTTGTCTTATACCCCGAGAAAACCTCAGCCACTTTCCACATCAAAAGCCCTCCACATACTAGGATAGAGACACCTTGAATTTGCCTTCTATTCCTAGAGACCCTTCTAGGACATGCCTTAGACCACCTTCTTTCCACTACTTCTAGCAGTTGGTCAGAATGGCCGCACTCCTTCATTCTGTTCCCTCCTCACCTTATTACCTTTTCTGGCACTTCTGCAGAAGAAGATGAACATGCCCCTCGGGAACGGACATCTAAATCTAAGAATGGTGTAGAGAACCTAGAGAGTGGCGCCCATAAGAAACCAGAAAAATTGACCCAGGTAGGAAGTTGATGCCCCTGACCTTGCTTTGGGCTTAATATACCCTTCCCCCATGGGTCCCAAACTTTTTCACTTCCTGTGCCTATGTTTCCTTCATTGTCCAGTCTTCCCATTTACTCTGTGCCTCTCTTTACTTTTTAGCCTCCTCAGGATCTGGAACCCCGAGCTGGGGCTGGTCCCCCAGCACGTGGAGAGCGGAAGAAGAGTATAGTAGAGAGTCCAGCCCCAGCAGCCAATAACCCGCAGGTTAATGCCCTGATGGCCCGGCTGCCTCCGCTCCTCCCCCGGGCCCCTCGCTCAATTATTCAGCAAATCCCCGTATCTCCTCCACCCATCGTATCTCCTTCACCCATCGTGGCCTCCAAGCTTTCTTCAGGCACTCTGAAACTGACTGCGCTCCCTGTGTCCAATAGGGTTAGGGGATCTCAGGCAGCTGTGCCCATCATTAATATGATCTTACCAACTGTTCCTGCTTTGCCTGGACCTGGACCAGCTCCACCTGGGGGGCTCACTCAGCCACTGGGCACAGAGAATAGGGAGGTAGGCATAGGTGGTGACCCAGGATCTCATGACAAGGGTGTCAAGAGGACAGCCGAAGTAACTGTGAGTGAGGCCAATGGGCAGGACCCACTAGCAAAAGCAGCAAAGCAGGATATAGAGGATACAGGGATTGATGCAAAAAGAAAACGGGGGCGCCCTAGAAAAAAATCAGGTGGAAGTAGGGAAAGGAATTCTGCCCCTGACAAGTCAGCAGCTGCCGTGGACTTTGCCCAGTCCTCAAAGTTACCACGGGAGACGTGGGCCTCTGGAGGGGAAAGCAACTCAGCTGGAGGGTCAGAGAGGCCAGGGCCAGTGGGAGAGACTGAGAAGAGGACGGTGCTTGCCGAAGGTCAGGAAGATGGTGCTGTTTGTAAAGGAGGAAGGGCCCCTAGTTCCCGCCATGCCAAAGGAGGAGAAGATAAAATTCCTCTTGTTACCCCAAAAGTGAGTGTCATCAGGGGCAGTAGAAGCCAAAAGGAGGCTCTTCATATGGAAAAGGGAGAGGTAGACACCGTAGCACAGAGTAATAAAGATTTAAAGGGGCATATACTTCAAAGTTCTTTATCCCATGAGCAGAAAGACCCCAAAGCAGCACCCCCATGATAGGCATGTAGAGAAGAGCGTTTATATCCGGATGTGAACTCTACCTGTCTGCCTTGTAGAGCCCTTCCCTTCACTCGCTTCTCCTCTGGCTCTTCTTTTCCAAAGGGAATTCATGCTCTTCTGTATAGACAGCTGAGGTACCCTGTCTTACACAATGCCTGCTTCCTGCCTCTGACCTTTTCAGCTCAATAACCTTGGCTTTAGAGTCACTAGTAAATCTGTCACCTGGATCCCTGTGCTATCCTGTGGAAAGATAGGGATGGATGATATGATGAATGTATAGGTTAGGAATCTTTTGGTTTTAAATCATAAAAAACCCAACTCGTACTGGCTTAAAAATAAAGATTTATTGGCTCATGTAACTGTAAAATCCAGAGGTAATGCTGGCTCCAGGTAAAGCTGACCCAGTAGTTCAGTATGTCTCTAAATACCTAATTGACCCCCCCACCCCTGCTGTTCTACCCTCTATAGGATCATCGGAACCCTGGGCTGCCTTGTGGCTGCCAGTACTCCTAGAATTTACAATGTTTCCTCATTTATGTCCTACCAGAAACAGGGCATCTTTGTGTCCAATCCTAGCAAAAACCCTGATTCATTCTGATTAGGCCAGCTTGTGTCACATATCCACCCCTAACCAATCCCTGTGATCGGGGGATGGTGTATGCTAAGTTGCTTATTCTACATCTGGGACTGAACCTGTGGAATAAGGGTAGGATTAGCCTCCTTAGAAACTGGGAGGAGGAAGTTCCTGGGGAGGCGGCTGACACCTGCCATGACTATGAAGTACATGTGGCTTTAGCATGCTAGGCTGAGATCAGCTTTACCTGCTTTTTCCCTCACAGCCTTGGATTTTTCTTACTGCAGCTGTAACCTCTTCTCATTCTGGTCTCAGAAGGAATGAAAGGGATGTCACTCTTCTTTAGGGACTGTCTCTTTAGTCTCATTTAGACGACAGTACCCTCCCCTTTTTTTCACCTATGACTCAGAGATGGAGCTCCTCTTTTTACTGTTTCTGAATTTTAGTTTCTCCTCATTTCTGCTTTCCTGTCTCCCACCCTACTGCCACTATCACTAAATAGAGATTCACTTCTAATCATTTTATTAAATTCATTCTGTATCCACCAGGTGTCAGTCTCTTGGCATACATGTTCAGGACTAGCCAGGATTATGGGGTTTAGGCTAGCTATATGGAAGGAGGTAGTTCTGCATATCAGGGAGCACCAATAGGAAGGGAATCCAGACCCTCTAGGTGGGTCATTGGGAAAAGCAGTAAACTAATATTTATCAAGGACCTACTTTATCTTCTGCGTAGGGTAGCTTCTGTCAGGGAAACTTGGTTCTTCCCAAGAAATAGATTTTCTTTCAGGGAAACTTCATTTGTTCATTTATTTCCACCATAGCAGATTTTTTAAAATTATAATATGTAATATTTGATATCTATAAAAATATATTTAACATGAATAAATTATGAAGCATAATTAAATGACTACCTATGACCCATCACCCAACTTATACATTAAAACATTTAAAATATCATTGACTTTCTTGTGTTCCTCCCCGTCCTAGCCCCTGCCTCTCGCTAGAGGTAACTACTATCCTTAATTTCATGTTTATTAATTACCTATTATATATATATATGTATATGTCCTTTAAAAATGTATCATTTTGCTTTTAGCTTTATGAAAATTTTATACTCCAGTAAGTATCCTACAGTAGTTTGCTTTTTTCACTTAACATTATTTCTAAGGTTCATCCATATTGTAGAAAGCTATGATTCGTTCATTTTCCTCTGTATAATATTCCGTCAAGTACATAAACCACAAGTTATTTATCCATTATCAGTGGACTTTGGGTTATCTTTTGCTATTACAAACAATGCTGCTATGAACATTCTTGTACATGTTAGTGCCTTTGTTTTTAGCAAGATTTCTGAAAAGCTTTCTAAAATGGTTCTTTTGGTCTGTATATCCTGAGTTGGGGACTGTTTCCTCCTCTCTTATTCTCTGGAAGAGTTTATATCAGATTGAAATGAACCGTTCCCTGAAAGTGGTAAAACTCACCTGTTAAGCCATTTGAGCCTGGCATTTCCTTGTGAGAAAAATTTTAACTTTTTTAAACTATTGATTCAATCTCTTTATTTAATAATTACAGGCTATTTGAGCTATTTCTTTTTGAGTAAATTTAGGTAAAGTGTTTCTCTAAGATTTTGTGCATTTTATGTCTTTTTTAAAATGAAGTTTGTTGGTGTTTTTTTTTTGCTCTGCTCTGTGTAGTCATGTCCTCTTTTTTATTTCTACTGCTTGTGCTTTCTTTTTTTTCCTTTGCTCAGTTGCACGAGAAATTTGTTATCTATCTTTAGTTACTACTTTGGGCTTTGTTGATTCTCTCTTATGTATCTGTTTTCCATTTCATTATGGACCTTATCTATAGTATTACCTTTTTTCTGGTTTCTTAGATTTAATTTTATGTTCTTTTATAACATTTTAATTTTGACACTTATCTAATTAATTTTCAGGCTGTCTTTTTTTCTTGTGTAAGTTTTTAAGGACCTGCTTCTCTACATTCCCCAAGTTTTTCTGTTGTAAAGTACTTTAATTGTTATTTAGTTCTAAGAATATTTAAATTACTTTATGACTTTTTTGATTCATGAATTATTTCAAAAAGTTTTATAATTTCCAAGTGTCTGGACATTTAAAATTTTATCTTTTTGATATTTTCAGCTTAATCGCTTGTGCTCAGAGAATGTGGTCTCTGTGATACCAGTTCTTTGCAATTAGTTGGGATTGTTATTTTATATTCTGTAACTTATCTTGGATGTCTAAATCTGTTTTGTTTTGCCTGTGTTAGCTTGTTTCCTTGTATATTTTATATTTTGGGGTGTTGAGCTCATATTTTGTTAAACTTAATTTACAGGAATCCAGAGGGCCTAAGAGAGGATCTGTATTTGCTTCTGCCAAGAGCCAAAGGGTGCTTTTGGCCTGGGACTGTGTTAGTCCCTTCAAGAGTCCCATTTTAATTCAGGAGTGCCAAGTTTTGTCCCCTTCCTTGGGTAGGCCCAAGGTGTAACTTCTGTTCATAACACTGGTATTGGCGTTTGTCCTAGGGCAAACCTGTTTTTCCTACTGCATGTTGATCATCCTTCATATAGGTTTCAGCTTAATATTATTTTTTCTTCTTTTTGTGATTTCCCTTTCTAGCAAGCTCAGCAGTGTGCTAAATATCATGCTTGCTGTAATTTGTCCAGGATCTTAGTTGTATTTTAATGGGAAAGCCCTTTGTCTTATTCATGCTACCAGAAGTAGGAATCGATTACTGTGTTTTTTATATTTTCCTTCTTGTTTTTTAAGTGCTAGGTATTTGTTTGAATCTAGTTAACTAGTTAACTTAGGCTCTGTCTTCAAGTCAGTAGTGATCGTAGCACAGTATGAGTGAGTTACGTTAAGAGTAAGCACAGAGAGCTCTGGGAGCCCAGAAGAAATAGCGCACAGCTCAGACAGGGATCAGGAATGACTTCCCAGTAGAGGAATTTAGCTAGACAAGTCTAACTCATAAAGCAAGAACAGAACAACATAAGACATAGCCAAAAGAGCTAAATCATGATTCCCAGTCTACTGCATAAGAGCTGAATGTAAATTCAGAGAGATCACTTTGGGTTGAGTAATTGGGGAAAGCTTCATGGAAAAAGTAGGCTTGAATTAAGCCTTTAAGGTAAGTAGACCTTAGATAGGTGAAAAAGAAGAGGGCATTCCATGAAAAGCAGGGGTTTGGGGGTATGGGCATGGCAGTAAAACCTAGCAAAGAGACCTGTCAGGCAAAATGATGTGCATGAACAACAGTGAGAAATAAACTTAAAGAAAAACACAACCATTACAGTTAACTGTTGACTGAATGAATGTATAAAAAGTATAAATTCTGCATTCAAAGACGGGGGAACTGGAGTCAAAAGGTACCAGCCAGGCATCTTGCCTTTGTCCATGTGGGAGGGGTTGAGGGACTGGACAAGGCTGCTGACACATTAGAGGTGATAGACATATGGAAAAATAAACCACTGGGGATAGGATAGATAGAATCATCCAAGGAAATATTCTCCTTACCATGATCAGGTTTGGGGATATATCCATTCACTTTGGGACCTGGCCACTGGGTAATTTTGAGATTTACATGAATGTTACAGGGTTTTTACGTAGCTTATTTTTACGATTTACTCTATTTTTAAAATATAACGAAACAAATTATTCTATAGTTCAGGCAATCTTCAGTTCATTAGATGAAGGGTTAAACAGATTTTGGGGACTGTCTACTGCTTCCTCTCTATCTACCATTCCTATTCTTTCCCCAGTACCCTCTTCCCCATTCCCGTTACCTTACCCTGCCCGTGTTGTCTTCTTTCATTTTAGCCCTATCATAAATGAAGTTAAAGATAATTTATAATTTACTAAAATTTGAAATATTTTGCTATTAAACCAAGACAAACTATATGCCTAGCCTATGGCCCCAAATAAATGAATCTATTGCCAATTTTTGTGGGTAACAACTTTCTTTAGAAATCAAAGCAAATGCCACATTCACTCACATACCAAACAGGAATTAATGTCATACATTTGTCTAAGTGTTTTGTCTCATGATATGTTTCCTCAGTAGGACTACTTCTTTGTCTAGGATCATCCTGCTGGCTCCATCCTATAAGATAAAACTAAGCATAACATAACTAATAAAGCAGTATTTATTAAGTGTTCATGAGGAAACTTTTTTATTGGAAAGAGTGCAAATTCAGTTCAAATCTTAGCTTTACCACTTTCCATATGATTTTGAACATTTATTTAGTCCAATTTTTTCAAACTGTATATATCCTATTAGTGGGTTGTGAAGCTGATTTAGCAAGATGCAAAACTTTAAAAAGTGAAATAAAATAGAAAATATCAGAATGCGTTACATATAGTAAGGTTAAGTATTGTTTCATGAAACTTATCTCAGTGAAGACATGTCTATGTGTTCTTCACTGGTCATGATATAAAATGCATTTCTCTCTGTAGGTTGAAGTAAAACAATTTTGAAAAACAATGACAACCATCTGAAGCTCAGTTTCCAAAAGATGGGATAACATTTTTTTCATAGGATTTTAAGGAGGAATAAATGAGGCGATGTTTGTATTTTTACACAGTAGGGGCTTGAGTAATAACTGCTAGCTTCTTTTCTCTAAAAATAAAAAGGCTAAAATATAATGGTTTTTGGGGGGAGGGGATCACTCTTTATAATTTCTTTAACTATAGGGGTATTTATAACTAGAGTTGTATTATGACCTGAGTCCCAGCTTTTGATGTGTAAGCCAACTTCTTTCTCCAATTTAATGAAATTTAAATAAGGTAAATGATATTACCTGACCCTCTTGGTACTTCCCTGGTGCTATTTCAACAAAATTAACTTTTTTTCCTGTGGCAGAAATTAAGGATACAGCTAGAATACAAAAGTGAATCCTTTCCTGCCTTGAGGAGCTCAGAGTAAGGGGTTTGGAGACTCCGAAACAGAGGGTAACCCAAACAAAAAAACATTTTAGAAGTCAGAAAGACAAAAGTCATAAAAAGATGCAAAGAAATGTACATATATGAGCCCTCCGAACTATAAACGCTGAAAACTTGAAACAAACTCTTCTACTTAATACTGGGGGTGGGGTCTCCATTAATGAAGGACACATAACCGCCTGTAGCTATAAAAAGTTCCTAAAGTTTGAACACAGATGTTCCTGAAATGTTTTTTTGTCCTTAGAAAAAGAAAAAAGAACACTTCCAACTATAAAACGCAGAGCTGTCACACCTCTTTTTACAGTTTCAAAGAGGTGGTCTTATGGCCCTTTGGAACCCTACCCCTGGAGGGAATGAATGCATGACACTTTAAACTCTAGGCAAAAGCAGGGCCATCACATCTTGATGTCTTGATATTTGCCTTACAGCTAACTGGGAGCTGGCCAAGAGCTGCTGGGCCTGACAGGTGGACTAGTGATTCCCCACTCCAGACCAGTGATGACAAATTTAAACTATCTTTGGCACTCTCCGTCTCTTAGCTCAACTTTCGTTACTGTACTCCTTTAATGTAGCTTACCAGCTTGCCCTCTCATAATTGGAGCAAATTCCCATTTCTATTCTTCAGCATACAATTTTTTTAGCCTTCAGAATGCTCTCGTTTGTTATGCTGGATCATATCCAATAAACCTAAGACCTGGGCTCACAATATTTTGAAGCCATTCATTCATTCACCATATACTGAGTGGCTAGGCCTTCCCTGTTAATTAACCATACTCTTCTATGTACCTTCAGCAATTAGGTGCACTGTTCAACTTTTGTACATATCGCATGTTTTACATAAGTATTTTCAAGCACCTTTATTCTGCCTTCCAATTCAACAGTAAAGCAGTGACCATCTTTCATCATCTACCCTATATTATTGTCCCAATAATAGTAATATATTACTATATGTAGTAGTAATCTGTACTCTTCTAATCCTCACAAAACTCATAAAGAGTTAACATTCCTGGGTCCACTTTGCATAGAAACCTCAGTACAAAGAAGTTGAATCAGTCATCCCAGTCAAACAGCCTATAAGTGGCAGCGAAGGTGGCATCGAAGGCCTGGGCTCAAATAACTAGACTCGATACAAAATAAGGCCCTATGAGGGCTGCGACAGCGGTTCTGATGGAGAGGGCTCCCAATCAATAAAATACACGAAAGACAACAGAGGTCCATTTGCAGGGTGGTTTTTGTTTGTTCGTTTAGTTTTGCATGAGTCTGTTGTGTTTTGAAGGGTTGTGCCCTGCAAGCCTTTGTCATTTCACTCACCTCTCCCAAACTGGCTCAGTCCAGCCCCTCCCTAGAGGGGTCGACGTCCAGAGGCTGAAGGCTAAAGGCTACTGGTGACTTCGGAGGCAGAACCGCGGCCTCGAGTCGCGCCGCTAATGGCGAAAGACTGACCCGGTAGGAAAGACTCCCCAAGCGATAAGGGGCGTAATCTGGGCATGGTCCTTTAAGATGAAAAGTACTGAGGGCGACTATCTTCCCCGCCCACCCTCTTTCTCCTTTCCCCACTGGGCCCCAGAGTCCATTCCACGGCCTGATTTACTACGGGAGGCGTGTGGAATAGGGGAGGGGGTAAAGCCACTGATTGCAATTACGGTAACTCGCTAACTCAAACGGACTTATTTACCTATAATTCGCATGTACTTATGGGAGTACGCGACACGTGCTTCTCCTCTAACAGGCCACCCGCGCCCGCCTGCCACTCTCTGCTCTAGGCCCGGAGCCCCTGCCCCTCATCTAGGAAATTTACTTCCCTTTCGGCTTCCTTAGCTTCGCAAACTCGACCTCTTAGGTCCGCCTCCCAAAGATTGGCCCCTCCTTCCACCCGTAGGCTCCTCCCCTCGACCTCTCCTCCCTCCCCAGCTTCCAAACATCTGTTCCCCGCCCCCTTTTCTGTTTTTCTGAACAGGCATGTTCCAGGCAGCTCACTTGACTCCTTAGATTACTATGGTATCGTAGGGTCCTGAGCGTCGGAGACGCAGGAAAGCATATCCCAAGAAAAAGGGCTCGGATTTAGGAGAATCAAGCCCTGCTGGGGATATTTTTGGAGGGGATCTTGATTGTGCGGAGGGAGGAAGAGGAGGTTGTGTGGCCCGGTCGAACTTGAGGCAGCGCGAAGGCCCCCTCAGGCGGCGCCGAGGGCAGCCCC